GTGCTGCTGAGGGTACTGAGCCTGGGGGTGCTGACTCTAGGGGTGCTGAGCGTGTGGGTGCTACGCCTGGGGGTGCTGAGCCTGGGGGTACTACGACTGGGGGTGCTGAGCCTGGGGGTACTACGCCTGGGGGTGCTGAGCCTGGGGGTGCTGCGTCTGGGGGTGCTGAGCCTGGGGGTACTCCGCCTGGAGGTGCTGAACCTGGGGGTGCTACGCCTGGTGGTGCTGTGCCTGGCGGTTCACCGGGTGCTCCCTCTCGCCGAGAGCCACTCTCTCCCCAGGAGCTGCGTGAGTGGTTTGCCCGGCGCTGGAGGCGAGCTGCTGGAGCTGCTGGAGCTGGAGGTGCTGCGGGTAATGGAGGTTCTGTTGCTTCTGAGGGAGCTGGTGCCACGGGTCCCGGAGGTGCTCGTACTGGGAGTTCTGGAGCTGCTGGACCTGCGGGTACTTCTGGAGCTGGAGTTGCTGCGGGTGTTGGCGCGGAGGCTACTGCTGTCGGTCCTGGAGGCAGTCCTGCTGGGGGTACTACTGGTGCTGCTGGGGGTTCTGGAGCTGGAGCTGCTACTGGTGCTGGTGCTGTCCCTCCTGTGTCTGGAGTCGCCGCGCGGCCTCGGCCGTACTTCGTTCCGCTCCTTCAGCAGGTTCTTGGTCTCCCGCCTTCTACTGGTCCTCCTCCTCCCTTAGAGTGTCCACAGCCTGTCCCGTCGCAGTTACAGTTACAGCCGGCCTCCCCACTGCCTGCTCCGTCTCCCTACACTGGTCCTACTGGAGGTCTTGCTGAGCGTCGTGAGCCTGCGTCTCGCCCTGCGTCGCCTGTCCGTGCTGCTCGCACTAGTGGTCGCGGTTCGCGTCAGCGTCCTCCTCCTGTCCCTGGCACGCACCGGATGTCTCTGCGTCCGTCCACTGCTCCTCTGCGTGCCCCTTTGCCTTCTCCTCCTGAGTCTTCTCTTCCTACTCTTGCCGACCCGGAGTCGGACTCTCTTCGCGCTGCCAGTCCTACTGTCACGCGTCTCCTTGCTACGGTTGTCACTGACCCTTCCTTTGAGTCCACTGCTGCGTCTGCTCTAGTTGCTGAGCTCGTCGACTTTGCTGCTCGCTGTCGCCTAGACTACGTCGCCAGTCTTGTTGCTGAGTCTGAGTCTGTCTGTCCTCCGTCCGTCGGGGGTGAGTGTGCCCTTGGCACGGACGTCCTTGAGGACAGGCAGGAGGAGTTCCAGTGCTTGGCCGCTGCTTCACCTCATCTCGTGTCCGTACTGCTTACCCCTGAGGGAGACCCGGATGCACTTGACATCCCGACTCCGCGCTCTTACGCGGAGGCGATAGAGGGTCCCTACTCCTCTCAGTGGCAGGCAGCTATGGACGCAGAGATGGCTTCCTGGAAGTCCACAGGCACCTACGTTGACGCTGTTCCCCCTCCTGGGGCGAACATCGTCAGTGGCATGTGGATTTTCAGGGTGAAGCGACCGCCGGGTTCTCCGCCTGTCTTCAAGGCGCGTTACGTGGCTCGTGGCTTCAGTCAGCGGCAGGGAGTTGACTACTTTCAGACCTTCTCTCCCACCCCGAAGATGACCACTCTTCGGGTACTGCTGCACGTAGCTGCTCACCGTGACTACGAGCTACACTCTCTTGACTTCAGCACTGCTTTCTTGCAGGGCAGCCTGCACGAGGAGATCTGGCTGCGTCGCCCACCTGGCTTCACTGGGTCTTTTCCTCCTGGCACCCAGTGGAGCCTACGGCGGCCAGTCTACGGTCTCCGCCAGGCACCGCGTGAGTGGCACGACACACTGAGGACTACACTTGCGGCTCTTGGGTTTGCTCCCTCTACTGCCGACCCGTCGCTGTTTCTGCGCACCGACACTTCTTTGCCGCCGTTCTACATCCTCGTGTACGTCGACGACTTGGTCTTTGCCACAGCTGACACTGCTGGACTAGCCCACGTGAAGTCCGAGCTGCAGAAGAGACACACGTGCACTGACCTGGGTGAACTGCGCAGCTACCTTGGCTTGCAGATCACTCGGGACAGAGCACGCCGCACCATTACCCTGACTCAGTCACACATGGTGCAGCAGGTCCTTCAGCGCTTTGGCTTCACGTACTCCTCGCCTCAGGCCACTCCTCTGCCTACTCGCCACTCGCTCTCAGCTCTGCCTTCGGATGAGTCCGTAGAGTCGAGTGGCCCGTACCCAGAGCTTGTTGGCTGCCTCATGTACCTGATGACCTGCACACGACCTGACCTTGCATACCCTCTTAGCATTCTTGCACGCTATGTTGCTCCTGGGAGACACAGACCGGAGCACATGGCTGCAGCGAAGAGGGTGTTGCGCTACTTGTGCAGTACGTCGGGCATGGGGCTTGTGCTTGGAGGGCAGAGTCCAGTGGTCCTTACTGGGCACGCAGACGCTTCTTGGGCTGACGACCAGGCTACGCAGCGGTCGTCACAGGGTTACACCTTCAGCCTTGGTTCCGGCTCTGTTTCGTGGCGGGCTACTCGCTCGTCTTCTGTTCTCGGCTCCAGTTGTGAGGCTGAGATCTACGCAGGAGCCATGGCTGCACAGGAGCTTCGCTGGCTCACCTACCTGCTGACTGACCTCGGAGAGTTGCCTCGTTCTCCTCCAGTGCTGTACGTAGACAACAAGGCCATGCTGGCCTTGTGTCGGGAGCAGCGACTGGAGCACAGAACGAAGCACATTGCTCTCCGCTACTTTCTTGCTCGTGAGCTGCAGCAGCGTGGTCAGCTGCGTCTTGCGTACGTGGCCTCTGAGGCCAACACTGCTGATATCTTCACCAAGGCACTTGCGCCTTGTGACCATCAGCGCTTCTGTACTCAGCTGGGCCTTGTGCCTACCTTGCCTCACTTGCTCACCTCTTGACCTTGCTTGTACTGTTACATATATATATACCTGCTCTTGTTTGTCTAGCCTTTTTATATATATGTGTACTCCTGCTTGTGAACTGGCCTTGTGGCCTTGAACTTGTGCTCGGAATGTGTGGTGACTTTGTGATCCACCCTGAGCTTGTTTTTTGCTTTGCTTTGCTTGACTGGTCTTGTGACCCCTTGTTCTCCCCCACTTTGCCTATGGGGGTGTGTCAGATTTATATGACATAGCTACTGTAGGCTAGAGTGGGGTAGCACATATGGGGTACAGTTTTCTAGGGTTTGCTTCTTGTACCCAACTTTCACTTAGTCATTCTCATTCCTGTTTTTCTTGATTCACATCGTGCACCGGCTACATCTACCGACTCGAGCCTATCGGGCCTATCTCGTGGCAGTCGAGCAAGCAGGAACTAATCGCTCTCTCCTCAGCCGAAGCAGAATATATTGCACTCTGCTCCGCCACCAAGGAAGGACTGTACCTTCGCGAACTGCTGGAAGAAGCGAAGCTGGCTCAGTTACCCAGCTTCTCCCTGTTCTGCGACAACCAATCGGCAATTCGCATAGCCAACAAAAACATTTTCGCGAACAAAACGAAGCACATCGCCCTGCGATATTTCTTCGTGAAGGACGAGATCGAGAAGGGAAGACTCGAGCTATCCTACTGCCCCACATCCGAGATGGCAGCTGACTACTTGACCAAGGAGCTCGGAAAACAGAAGTTCGAGTACTGCATGCTGCTGACTAGACAAGGCCACGTTACCAGCAGCGACACTCCAGAAGCGAAGGGGAGTGTTGGAAACAAGTGATTTAAGCGCTTCTGCTGTGTCGAAACACTAAGTCGTAAACGAAGCGAAACACAACGAAGCATCGGCGAGTCAACCATCGGAGGTTGAGAAGAAAAGTAACTGCTGGAGGTTACGCGAAAGTCAAAGGTCAGCGACCTTTGACCTGACAAATACTGCGCGACAGCAAGGACAAACAACTAACTCGATACTGAGCAGTTGCCCGAGTCGTCACTGTATCGAACCGCAACAGCAATAGTAAAACAGTTATTAGTTATACCCTCTCATATTCCTTGTAATCTTATAAAAGCTTGTATTACTTTCTTATAATCAATCTATCTTGCCCTCACATACTAGCGCAAGGTGGTTCAACACTTGTCATTAAAACGCTTCCGCAACTACAACATCTTCACTCAGGGTTTAGTCTTGCAAAGATCCTAAGGGCTTTTCTCAGCCAAACACAAACAACATATCGTGTAAGAATCAATTGCTATGTGATTGTATGGTTACGGTTGTCCGAATAATAATAATAATAATAATAATAATAATAATAATAATAATAATAGTAGTGGTAGTAGTAGTAGTAGCAGCAGCAGCAGCAGCAGCAGCAGCAGCAGCAGCAGCAGCAGCAGCAGCAGCAGCAGCAGCAGCAGCAGCAGCAGCAGCAGCAGCAGCAGCAGCAGCAGCAGCAGCAGCAGCAGCAGCAGCAGCAGCAGCAGCAGCAGCAGCAGTAGTAGTAGTAGTAGTAGTAGTAGTAGTAGTAGTAGTAGTAGTAGTAGTAGTAGTAGTAGTAGTAGTAGTAGTAGTAGTAGTAGTAGTAGTAGTACTGAAACAAAGGCGAACTAGCAAGGAAATTTTTATATGTGCAGCCACAAAACAGATCAGCACCGAACAACAACCCCTCCTGCCTCCGCCCAACACTGGCTGCAGAATACCTCATCAAGGGTTGTGCTCATCCCTTGGGCTGGCTGGCCAACCCATGCATACCCCAGCTTCTTCAAGTAGATTCAAATAACAAAAAATATTCAGCTAGATATCCTGCATGGGCCACGTACCATGTAGCTGCAATACAGCGTATATTCAGCTATATCCGTTGATTGACTCCAGCAATGGAATGAGATGTAGGAATCATGTGAGTGCACTGTGTGTGACTTTAGTCTACACCTTATCAGCAGCACATTTTGAGGTGAATCACAAGTGGCATGGGGTGCAAGAAGCATGTAAGCGCACTGTGTGTGAGTGCGCCATGTGTGAGCTTAATTTACACCTTGTCAGCAACACCTGGCTGGTAACCAACATTGGCGGCCTGAGCAGGCTTGTACTGGTCTCCAGCTGTGTACGCCCCCATGGCTGGATATCCTACTGCTTCCGTGGAGGGGGGATATTCCACTTCAACGGCTGGAGGAAGGCAGACAAAAAAGAAAGGTGAAAAGAAAAAAACGTGAACAGAAATGTGCAAATAAGAGCATGAAGGAGAATGCGGATTGGTGGAGCAAAGTATGGGGAGCTGAAGGGAGGAGGCTAGATTGGACAGTACGAGGCAACCATTGTTCTGAAACTATTTCGAGAGTATATTCCAATGACTTCGCACACATTCTTTCCAAATCTGAAACATTTTAGGTGGGCAGGTACAAAAAAGGGTAATAGAAGGCATAATAACCAAAGGAAAGGAGGACAATGAGGGGGAGGCGGCAAAGTGCTTACCCGGAACAAGGGAGATCCGCAATGCAATTCTTTAAATCAACTCACCTTCTATCTTCTTGCAACACTGAATGATGATGAACACGACAGCAACACCGCCAATGACCACCAGAATCATCCCCACCACAATCCCCACAATCGCTCCAGTTGACATGCCAGAGGAGGAAGAAGAGGCCGTGCTATTGGCTGAGGCAGAGCTCTGCACACTGTTGTCAACGACGTTGGTGGGGTTGGTGGTGTTAGAGGTGCCAGTGCCAGGAGGAGGAGCGGAGGGAGGGGAGAAAGAAGGAGGCGCAATGGAAGGGGGTGTGTACGGAGGCTCATAATCGTCAATTGGGGGGGATTCGGAAGATGGTGCAGCAGAAGAGGGTGCAGCAGACGAGGGTGCTGCAGACGAGGGTGCTGCAGACGAGGGTGCAGCAGACGAGGGTGCTGCAGACGAGGGTGCTGCAGACGAGGGTGCTGCAGACGAGGGTGCTGCAGACGAGGGTGCTGCATACAAATAACACAAGAAGAGGGGGGAAGATTCCCATTAGACAACATTCTCAAACATATGGCGATCCGATTTTTCAACATGAAGCTGTTCAGTTTGAAACATGAATTTTCAACGTACGGCCATTCGATCCATGCCATGTAGTTGTAACACAGGCAAGTACATGTGTTGCAAGGCCTATTCCAGATTTTCCCAGGCTAACACGTATCTTATGTGGACATATCTAGTTTCCCAGATTCATATTACAACGTAGGAGTGACAGCAAGACAGCTCACCTGCAGGAGAGATGCAGGACTGGCAGAAGGAGTGGCAGGCGATGCAGAACTGGCTCTCCAGTGACTGCTCCACCACACAGTCGGTGCTGTTGGGACATTGCACTGTGAAGTCATACTCCCTGGGAGGCCATGCAGGGAGGACGTGTGTGAAGAAAAGAAAAAAAATGACAAATAGAACATGGAAATGGGCTTAAATGGGGTGAGATGGGTCTGATGCAGAGTAGCTGTCTATTCAGAATGCATTTAGACTGCAATTCTGTACACAAGGGTTGAGTGTGAGCAACATCAGTACTGACTAGATCTAAGGTGCGGCCATACTTGGTCTGGTCGGTCTGATGCTGGCAGCAATGGCAGAACAATGAGAGCAACAGTAACTCGAGAGGTACACATGGCCAGCACTAAAACTCAATCCATGTATATGTGCTGAAAGCCATACTAATGTAGGTGTGCTGCAAGCCATACTCATGTAGGTGTGCTGCAAGCCATACTCATGTAGGTGTGCTGAAAGCCATACTCATGTAGGTGTGCTGAAAGCCATACTCATGTAGGTGTGCTGCAAGCCATACTCATGTAGGTGTGCTGCAAGCCATACTCATGTAGGTGTGCTGCAAGCCATACTCATGTAGGTGTGCTGCAAGCCATACTCATGTAGGTGTGCTGCAAGCCATACTCATGTAGGTGTGCTGCAAGCCATGTAGGTGTGCTTCGAGCACATGAGCACAAGTTTTCGTACAGTTTGTTGAGGTTAACTGCGCTGCCAAGGGTAGCCGGCAGGTAGCCAGTGAGGTAGTTTCCTTCGATGCCACTGCAATGGTGGGTGGATGGCACGTGGATGACATGCGGATGGCATGTGGATGTCATGCGGATGGCATGTGGATGCCATGCGGATGCCTTGTGGAAGGCCTATGAATGGCATGTGGATGGCCTGTGGACAACATGTGAATAGCCTATGGATGCTATGTGAATGGGAAGAAAGGATGGCGGTGTGATTCTGTCGGATGCATGCCTAGAAGAGTGGCCCGATACATATGACTAACATTGATTCGCAACAATTGTGGATGTTACAGGGGAATTGAGTGTTACGATCTACATGCACACATTCAGCCACGCACAAGCACACATTCAGCCATGTGCATGCACACATTCAACCACATACAAGCACACATTCAGCCATGTGCATGCACACATTCAACCACATACAAGCACACATTCAGCCATGTGCATGCACGCATTCAACCACATACAAGAACACATTCAGCCATGTGCATGCACGCATTCAACCACATACAAGCACACATTCAGCCATGTGCATGCACGCATTCAACCACATACAAGCACACATTCAGCCATGTGCATGCACGCATTCAACCACATACAAGCACACATTCAGCCATGTGCATGCACGCATTCAACCACATACAAGCACACATTCAGCCATGTGCATGCACGCATTCAACCACATACAAGCACACATTCAGCCATGTGCATGCACACATTCAACCACATACAAGCACACATTCAGCCATGTGCATGCACAACATAGCCATGTACGTGCATACATCCAGCCGTATGCATGTAAACACTACGCCATAAGCATATAACCTCCTGCTTACCTAGTGAAGGACCATTCAACCATGTATTCAGCCATATGCATTGTACACGCACAGATAGGTAAGGAGAGGGAGCTCCCCCAGAAAGGCCGGCACTGATCCCACCAAGTTGTTGTACTTCATGTTCCTGTTCGCTCACTCATGGTCAAGACTTTTGAGTCGACTCAAAAGTCACCTGGTTGTTGTACTCCATGTTCCTGTTCGCTCACACATGGTCAATACTTAATGTTCATGGTCCGGTCAATGCTCATCCTTGTAATTCCAAGGTAATGAGCTACTAAGGGAAGGCGGAATCCACTCGAGGCACAATGGGTGCAACTATTTAGCTTCCAAGGAACACCCACTGGTCGATAATCAAGAAATACCATGTAGAGGTCAGAGCACTTGAATTTGAAGCTCTGTGAGAGCACGCATTTCTTCGATAATAAAGAGATGCCATTTGTAATACTTGAAGAACGAAGTAGCGCATGAAACTCACAGCATTTGAAGCCCTGTGAGAGCACTCATCCCTAAAGGAATGGAGCCGTTGATCTGTGAGTTTTCGAAGCTTCTGATGGGGGGTTCAGGCGGTCAAACAAAGGGTGCAGATGGGTGCAGATGTTTTTTTTTCGCTCGACTCAACAGTCAGAGGGGATGGAGCCGTTGATCTGTGAGTTTTCGAAGCTTCTGATGCCGCGAGTCATGCCACCGAAACAAGTGGTGTACATGGGTAAGGATGGGCAAATTCATGAATTGAAAGTGGCATGGGGCATGTGTCACACTGAAGCAACGGCACATGGGTGAAGGTGCGATCCATGAGGCATAATGCACGACATAACAGGGCAAAAGAGAAGAGACCACTGCAGGGCATTTTTTCCCAAGTATTCCTCCAAAAAACCGTTATTGAAGACAGTATGGGGTTGCAGGCATGCGACAAGGCTATTGTTTTGAGGATATATGCCGAGAATGCAAGGCTCGAAATGCAAGGCTTGTCAATATGACAATATGTTGTTGAAAAGCGCTTACAGGTCCACGAGGTTGGTGAGAGCAGAGATGGTGCTGGGGATGGTGTTGCCTGTGCGGTTGTTGCTTATCAAGTGCCTGGTTGTGAGTGAGGGAGTGGGGGGTGATTAGAGGAAGGACTGAGAGGGGCAAACACATGCAGGTGATATGCATCGGGGGGGTGTGCATGACAGGAGGTGTGCATGACAGGAGGTGTGCATGACAGGAGGTGTGCATGACAGGAGGTGTGCATGACAGGAGGTGTGCATGACAGGAGGGGGATGCCAGCCATGCTAGTGTGAATTGTGACAGGAGGTGTGCATTACAGGGTTCGAAGATTTGTTAGCTTCCCAATGCTCTCTGTCAGCGGGCCAATCGCGGTACCCTCCAGCTTCCTGCAAGGGATGTGGTTGGCACACAGTGGTGTTTGGTCGGCACAAACTAATGCGCGGATGGCACAAGGTTCTGTGGCCCTTTCTTTGGCAGATCAAAAGAAGATAAACGGCTCAGTCAGATTGTTGAGTCTGGCCAAGGATTCAGGGATGGACCCAGTCAGCTTGAAGCCCGGGATGGACCCAGTCAGCTTGAAGCCCGGGATGGACCCAATAATTTGAACCAAACGTAGTGTGTAGTTGGGGCGAGGGTTGTGTGTCGAGAACAGATACTTACAGCTCGGTGAGATTGTTGAGTTTGGATAAGGAGTCCGGGATGGACCCCGTGAGCTTGTAGTCTACTCCATCCCCATATATGATCCTGGAGAAAAAGAGGAGGAACAGAGGCAATGAGACTCCTGAGGAGACAGAGCTGGAGAAAACAAGACAGGGAGAGGGAGAGGGATAGAGAAGGAGAGAGAGGGAGAGAGATCAAGGGTTGTATGGATTCAAGCTACCACTAAGCTGCTTTCAAAGCTACATCAAATAAACTGAGCTTGATATTCAGCAACAGCATCTAAGGGCCCATGTGAGTGCCTCACAGGTTCTGCAGGCTGGTCATGTTGCCAAATGACTCGGGAATGCTGCCGTTCTCCACTTTCCCTGTCCTTCTGTGAGGGTAATGGCATGGCGGGTGGGGAGTGGAAGGGGGAAGTGGCTGGATTAACAGAGAGCATCAAAGAGCAGGGAAGATAAAAGGGCAGCGAGGATGAAAAGAGAGGAGATTACAACAGAGCAGTGAGATTGAAGATAAAAGGGAAGCAAGCATGAAATATGGGAGAGCATAGAAGAGCTGCAATGGCAAAGGAGCAGAGATGATTGAAAGAGTGACTAGTATTACACAGGTAAAAATATATGAGCACTACACATGAAGGAGCGGTAGACATGAAGCAACAGTGAGCGTGAGAAGGAAAAAACATAAGGAGAGAATCATAAATGAATGAGAGACAAAATTCAAAGAGAAACATATGGGGAACAGAAACATACAGCCCTTGCAGGTTCACAAGACTACCCAAGCCAGAAGGGAGACTGCCTCCTATATCGATATTGGTAAGTTCCCTGCCACCACGACAGATGAGTTTTTCAGACCTCGGTTTCCCACAAATCCGTCATGAAGTATAGAGGATGAAACGAGGGGGATGTAATGAAGAGGATGAAACGAAGAGATGAGACAAAGTAGCCACTTCAGTCTCTACCTTTATCAATGTTTTCTTCATCGTCTCTCTACTACCTCTTCCCCCTCTTGTCGAATCTCTGTCTACCCTTCTCCCTCTCGCCACCTCTCATCCTCTTTGCACTCTCAACCTCGTCCTTACAAGCTTGTGAGCCGAGAGAGGCCACTGATGGCGTTCGGAATCGTGGGAAGGCTGAGTCTTGGGGACCTGTATCAGGGCATTTGAGAAGGGAGGGATTAAGGTTGAGGGGGGAAGCAAGGGGTCGTAGATGGAGAGAAGGGTGAATACTCCTCTCTTTCATTACGACTCCAAGACTTTGCTCTCCTATTTGTCTCGGATGCTTTGCATCAAAAGCAGGACTGAGTGACGGAGTCACATGCGAGCAAGTCACTGCTCTGTGGTGAACGAAGGGGAGTAGAAGGCTTATATGCTCTCTAAAAGTATGTCGTGCAACTTCAGCTTACGATATGGAGATTATGTATCCCTCAGCATCGCACGCCCTATATGAGCCTGTGGCGCAGTCCCGATCGAAAATGAGGGTTCTGTCCCATGCCTTCTCCAATGCCTCCAAGGGGGGGACTGGTTGAGTGGGTTGTGGGAAGGTGGGGATTGGGGGGAAGGCGGGGGATGAAAAGTTTGGGCCGTCGTTTCGTGAATGAACCCGGCATTTTGTACCGCGTCTACTCTGCAGGATACCTGAAATGACTCGACTTCACGACTTTGAGCGGACCGTTGCGTGGTTTTTTGGAAAGGTGGGTGTGGGGAGGATGAATTCTGTGTTGTTCGCAGAATCACAAAAACAAGTTTTGTGCATGGATTGGGAGAAGCCGAGAATTATGATTGAAACCGTGAGTGGTGCTTGGGCTGGAAAAACCTTATCGATTTGAAAAGTAAATCATGGGAGGTGCAGGGACTCACTCCAAACAGGAAACCGACAAGAAGCAATAACAATAGATGTTGCAACCCCAGATATATAGGGCGCACTGAGATAAATATCTCTCCCGCAACGCTGGAGACGTGAAATTAAACTCACTCTGTGACGGGTCTATGAACGGAATCGCTGCCACAAGCTGCCAGGGATGGAGAAGGATAAGGCATAGGAGGAGGAGACTAAGCGTTTTAGACATGGCCATAATCGCACCCTTGTGTCCGCGTGAGAAAAAGTTGGATATAAAATGTACGTGGCTCTTGTAGCCCTTGCAGATTCAAGTAGGCGATGAATACAAAAAACAGAGGGCGAGCAAGTGCCAAGAAACTGAGTATTATGGTACTGCCAGTGGTACTACTGCACTGCATGTTTCCAGAAACTCAGCTAAGCCTGGAAATCCGAAAGTTGGTACAAACAAGGGCCCTGATCGGTAGCCCTTAAGCAGCTTAAGCTTCTGTCGCTTTGGCACACACGTGTGGGCACGTGTCGCTGGGTGCTTCCCCCCTCCTTCAGTAAATTTCCCATCTGGGAGGGGTGATCGGCACGCCCCAGAAACTCCGCTTAGGGAAGTTGCGCGGGTCGTGAGCGCGATTTCCCTCAACGCACTGCTGCGTTCGGCCCAGACTGCCCCACTCGTGACCAAGAAAACAAACTCCCACAAAAGGGTAACTTGTCCAAAAAATGGCTCCATAGAGAAACACTGGGAGTTGGGGAAATGGAAAGTTTTGAAGGTGTTTGAGAGCATTCTCGAAAATAAAATAATAAAATATGCGGTTCTAATGGGTTCACCCTTCGCGGGCTTACTCCGAGTAAGCGAGGCTTACTCTCCCAACAAGCCAGAGTTAGTGGAGTTCCGCCGCGGAACTCAGTTTGCCCGTAAAGGAACCTTCCTGTAAGGCCACTTCGAGACGTACTCCGAGTAAGGTGTTGCGGCGATCGTTTGCCCCTTCTGAGTTACTCGGAGTAAGACACGTCGGATTGAGTAAACTTCCGTCACACGTGCAAAGCGCGAGTTTCTGAACTGCGTCGAAGCTCACTTACCCCGCTTAAGGGTGCTACCGATCAGGGCCAAGAAATTCAAGAAAGGTGAGATGGGGAGGGATGATGATGGTGGTGGTAATATGAGATTCCTCACGGTCGTGAGGTTTTCTGGAAAGGCTGCGACTCGGAGCAAAGAATTCGCGTCAGCAGAAATTGAATCGATGACGTGGCGCAGCACACCTCCATGATTTGTCTGCCTTGCCGCACTTGGCGGAGTGGGTCTTCTAGATCAACGCAGTGTGGGAAAACCTCAACCTCGCTTAGTCAGTCAAAGGTCAGTCAAAACCTCAACGCATCCTTCCACATCATCCCAGAATGTGTTTCCGCTATTAGTTGCCTCCTTTTTGCTCTCAGCGAGGAAGGTGTATGGCTATATAACTGTGGAAATAACTACCTAGCGGGCTTCAAAACCCAGAATGGAGAAGACAAGCGTGGCCTATGCCTCCACGTCACGATTCACGAGCGATCTTTTTTGGCTGCGTCCACCAATAATATCCCTCTGGCAAATCCAGCAATGCAATTTTCGCACCTCCTCGCCAGGTTTCTCGCCAACTGGTATCGCTGGATCGTCTCTTCGGGGAAATTCGAGGGAGTTCCATTTTCAGGGCGCAATACATCAGAATCTCGAGCGGAGTTCAGAAGATGGAACGGCGTTCAAACGAGGTATGTCGAAACCGAAGGCGTACACCGTTTCCTCTACCCACCGAAAATGCCAGATTTGTAATTGTCACAACTCGTGAAACTCTGTGCGACGATGCTGCTACCAGGTTCCTTATCGCAACACAAGTCCCACGATTCGCGACCTGTCGCACACAGCTTCGCTAGGCGGGTCAATGTGCGATCTGGTATGCACCGTGTTCTGACGAACGTGATACACCGCCCTTCGTCCGGAAGTGAACAAAGTACCGCGAGGGTCGTGACCAGTGGTTACCAACTTCTAATTACGGACGTTCACGGACGTTCAAGGCCTGAACCCGTCTTGACTTGAGATGTACCGCCCTTGCCATGGTAAGGTCGCCGCGACATATTCCATACAATCCTAGCATCCCGAGCAAGCAGCGTCAATATTACCTTTCAACTGCCTTGTCCCAATACTTCGTCTCACCGAATCGGTAGCATTGTCAATAAGCGTTTACTTGAGAGTGGCATTTCGCATTTAGCGACCCATTCGTTCGCGATCTCGCATCGACGGTCGTCATCATGGAGCTTGCTCACCTCGCCCAGTCCGCTCAGTCGCTGGGTTTACCGGGTCTCCTCGTCGCACTCGTGCTCATCATGGTCGTCGCGTCGTGGCTTGGCGCGTCGCAAGGTGAGAAAAGAACCCCGCATAGAGAGATATGAGCCTCGCATAGTGAGAAATGACCGTCGCAAGGTGCGAAATGGGAGGTCGCAAGCTCTGAAAACGTCGCAAGGTGCGAAATGGGAGGTCGCAAGCTCTGAAAACGTCGCAAGGTGCGAAATGGGAGGTCGCAAGCTCTGAAAACGTCGCAACGTGTGAAATGGAAGGTCGCAAGCTTTAGAAAACGAATGAGAGGCGCAAGTCGCGTATGGGAGGTCGTTAAAAAACTAATGTCGGTAGCACTGAAACGAATGGCGCAGGGTGCACACACACAGGATCGCGTCGTCACTAGGACACCGCGTTAGTCCCACCAGAGCATAACCGCACTGCGACAGAGCATAACAGCACTGCGACAGAGCATAACCGCACTGCGACAGAGCATAACAGCACTGCGACAGAGCATAACAGCACTGCGACAGAGCATAACAGCACTGCGACAGAGCATAACAGCACTGCGACAGAGCATAACAGCACTGCGACAGAGCATAACAGCACTGCGACAGAGCACAACAGCACTGCGACAGAGCACAACAGCCCTGCGACAGAGCACAACAGCACTGCGACAGAGCACAACAGCACTGCGACAGAGCACAACAGCACTGCGACAGAGCACAACAGCACTGCGACAGAGCACAACAGCACTGCGACAGAGCATTACGTCACTCAACAGCATTACTCCGCCCCAACACAGCAGCGGGCCAGTCCAGGCATCTCGTGTTCCTCGCCTCCCTGGCACACCCACCCCACACGCCTCGCCTCCCTGGCACACCCACCCCACACGCCTCGCCTCCCTGGCACACCACCCCACACGCCTCGCCTCCCTGGCACACCACCCCACACGCCTCGCCTCCCTGGCACACCCACTACACGCCGCCTCCGTCTCATCCCTCCTCTCCATTCTCTGCGCCTCTCCATTCTCTGCGCCTCTCCATTCTCTGCGCCTCTATCACGTCTCTGTGTGTGCCATCTGTGCTCTCAAGCATAACGCCTTTGCCTTCTGTGTGTGTGCTTGTGCCTATGTTTGTGTTTGTGTGTTTCTAAATATGTTCGTATGTGCAACTCTCTCTGTGTGCGTGCATGCATGTCTCTTCCTCGTGTATGTTGATGCCTCTGTTTGCGCCTCCGGCCATTACTGGTACACGCACTCATGAAATCAGGAAAGAAGAGCAGCACGCAACAAGACATCCCACCTGTAAGTCAGTGCATGTAGTTCCTAGAGTCTGATGTTCGCATCTCCACACGCCGCCCACTTCTTCGTGTCCTCCACTGCTTTGTGTCCTCCACTGCTTTGTGTCCTCCACTGCTTTGTGTCCTCCTCCATTGAGCACAAAGATACTCCTCCCATTGAGCCATCTTCTCAACTCTTGCTCGTTTATCTGCTCGTTGAAAAGTATCTGACTTCTCTTCTTCCCCATTGCTGGCCTTTTCATCTGCCGCTGCTCCTGCCCGTTCATCTGCCCATGTATCCGTCATTGTATCGACAATTTCATCCCACTGACAGGCCGCCAAGGAAACCAAGGTGTACACTAAAGAGGAGGTAGCGAGGCACAACAAGAGGGACGACTGCTGGGTCATCATCAAGGACAAGGTGCCTCACATGCCACTCCTGCCTTCTGTCCTTGACTCAAAAATCTACACCTCTCTTTTGAGTTTACTTTAAAATCAACAAGAGGGACGACTGCTGGGTCGTCATCAAGAACAAGGTGCCTCACGTGCCGCCTCCTCCTCTCTTTTGACTCGAGTCAGAAATATTCTCGCCTCTTTTGAGTCAACTCAATAGTGAAAGAGAGGGACGACTGCTGGGTGGTAAACAAGAGCAAGAACAAGGTGCCAGACATGCCTCCTGCCGCTGCTCCTCCTCCTCCTCCTCCTCCTCCTCCTCCTCCTCCTCCTCCTCCTCCTCCTCCTCCTCCTCCTCCTCCTCCTCCTCCTCCCACTCCCGCCATCATCCACCCCTTCTCCTTACACTCACCGCATCATCCATGGCGAGGCAGGCAGTGGGTTCCACCTGTCACCAAAATCTCATCACAGGGTTAATTGTTACTCTGTACTGCTGGTCTCCGCCCGCTCTGCGCGGTCTCTGAGCTGCCTGCCTCTCAGTGTCCCTTGCACGGCTCTTGGGGTGAAGCTGGCAGCGCTATCCACCTGTTACCACTCGTTCATTAGAGGGTTAATTGCAATCACGCACTGCTGCTCTGGTCTCTGCATCCACTGTGTGGTCTCTGTGTTGTGCTGCCTCCCGATCTCCCAAGTGCACGGCTCGTGTGCTTCTCGTCCAATGCAGCATCCATCTCCCAGTGTCTCCGCAGGTGTACAATATGACGTCATATGTGGATGAACACCCGGGTGGCGACGCCATCCTCATCATTGTCACCACACCACCCAAGTGCACAGCTCTTGTGCCTCTTGTCCCATGCGCGATTTCTCTCCCCGTGGCCCCTTCAGCCGTGTTTTGATGTCATCCTGGTGGCTTTTGAGGTGCTCAAAAAGCTGGTGCACAGTTCTTGAGTTTCTTGTCTCCTGGTGAATCTCTCTCCCCCTGGTCCCTGCAGGTGTACGATCTGACATCATATGTGGATGAGCATCCGGGTGGCGATGCCATTCTCAACAATGCAGGAGGGGACGCAACAGAAGGCTTCTATGGGTATGAGGGCTTCCTTTGGGTTTCTACATTTTAGTGTTCAGAGCTAGCAAGGCAGGTGTATATGTGCTAACAACATGATTTGATACCCTGTGGTTGTTGTTTTGTTGCAGGCCTCAACATGCATCCCGTGTATTCGATCAAGTGGAAGAGTTCTATGTTGGTGACCTTGCAACCAGTAGCTAGAATCATCATTATCTAGGTAGTTGCCGTATGAGCTTATTCTGGTGAGGTCTCCCAAGTGGAAGATGAGCCAAAGCTCATCGTATCGCCTCGTCCAACCCTTTTCACAAGGTTTATGGCGTGTGATGTATCTCACCTTGTTACAACAGCTGATGGCTCAACTTTGCTTGTGTCTGACCCGAACCAGGGTCTCCACCACACTATCTTCCACCTTGGTATTCTATTTTTGTATCAATTCGCTTTTTTTTTTCAATTTGTTTATTCATTTTGAAACTTATATTTTCCCTTTTTATATGTTCCTTCTCCTTGTGACAGCTCACATACTTTCCGAATTGTGCTATAATGTGTGACAAGTCGTGGACCTGAAACAGTGATGCGCAGGTATTTCCTGAACAACGCTTTGTCGTTACATCACTCGTCGAGCGCATGTGCTACAGAACAAATTTCGATTGAGCTGCTTTCATCTGTCTGCAGTTTCTCCTGCCGGAGCGCAAGCGGCATGTCCTATCTCACGACTTCAGCCTGTCCTGTCCTACTGCCACGTCAGATTACTGGACAAATCTGCTCTGTGCACACTGTACGCTTGTAGGGCAGGGCAGACAAGCCCAGAAAGCCAGCCCTCCCTAGGGGCTGTCTGGGCCAAGCACAACTCACGATCCGGAGCTCCCTGAGCTTTATGGTGTGCAGCCATATCTAACCCTATCAGTAGATGTAGGAATCGGTGTGGAATCGGGGCTACCTACGGTTCTTAGCATCAACGTCAAGTCGTGTTTTGTTTTGCTCCCCGCGAAACTGCCTTTTGCACCTCGTAGGTTAGGGGAATCCGAACGGAATGTATTTGAATCTTGAACTGGGGCCAGTGTGAAGAGAAGAGAAGTTGGTGGTTGGAAGCTGAGGAATTCGTCAAGCTGAGGAATTCGTCTTTTGGAGCTCTACCGTGACGCGTCTAAGTGGATATAGGAAAGGGCATCGACCAGCCAAACAAACCGTGGGAAGGAGCTCGTATGAAAGTGGGAAACCTCAACATACATAGCAGAAAATGAATTTACCCCAATCCAGAATCCCACCTGCCACTCCACACCCACGATGCGCAACTCAACAAGGCTGGACTTTCTCCTGCTCCCTTCCCCAGTCTTGCCCAAACCCAATTTCGTCCCTGACGAACAAGTGCTTCTCGTCTTGCATACATCACCTGTGATCTCCTCTCTTGCTCACCCTACACCGCCAGACACCACTAGCTCCACCAACACCACACCACACCAACACCCCCCACTAGACGCTTCACCCCAGCTTCTCACTGCATACCTTGCGCAAAAATCAGTCAGCTTATCAGCGAGAATTTTAACTACTGATCGTACTGTATATATACTCGTTCACATCATACATCCCGTGGACCTTAGTACCACATTAGCCATAAACAGAATCCAGTGGACCATCAATATCACATATCCGTTACCATCGCATTGCGACGACGTGGTCGCGAGCCATGGCTCGGTCGAGGCACTGTACGAATCAGCCGCATCTACGACGATGCTGCATCGCGCTCATCCTATGTACGCGTTTGTAGTCGGAACTTCCCTAGAGCCGACTCGCTATAGAACCTCCGTGCATCTTTCTCACCTCCGACCTTACGCTTCTTTCTTTCAACGCATTGTCTCGCAACGGAGTGTCTCTCGCCGCATGCCGGTTCGAGCTAAAGTCTATTCAGAGCAAAAGCAGCGTAACGAGATTGGGAAGTTTCCGAGGAAAACGTCGCAGGGAAACGTCGCAAGGAAACGTCGCCTGCGTCAACTCAGTCGCCTCTCCCTTGCGCGAGCGTCCTCTCTGCGCGGCTCGCGCTCACTTCCCGCACCACCCACCTCAACATCACCATTCTCTCATCCCCCATCACCCATCCCAAACCACCCTCCCTGACCCCTTTTTTTCCCTCCCCCTCCCCCACCCCCTACTCGTTCCCCACCATCCCCTCCCCCACTTCCCCCTCCTCTTCCCCGTCCCATCTCTCCGCGGTCCCCGTACCTCCGCAGCGGTTCTCGCGGTCGCGCATTCCCCCGCGGCGGAGGGCAAGCCCAACAACAAGAATAAGAGAAACGAGAACGCGGGCCTAGGTGAGCGACACAGCGTGGTTACCACCTTAGACGAAAGCCATTGGCGAAGACCACATTCGGAGGCGATGGCGAAAGGCAAAGGCCAGGGCAAAGTTCATAGGAGGTCATAGGCGAAATGCATTGGCGAAGACCACAGGCGAAGGGTATAGTGGAAGACCGTTGCCGAAGGCTGTAGGAAAAGAGCAAACGGCGAGCCTGCGGGCAAGAAAAAGAGGAAAGCAGCCGTCGCAATGAGCATGCGACGAAGAGGACAGCAGCCGCCACAGTGAGCATGCGACGATCAGCGATGAGCGACTAACTTTCCCCAAACTCGGGCTTGCCGACGACTTCGGAGTTGACTTAACATGGGCAATAGAACGCGATAAGTCGACAAATAGTATCGAACTGCGGAAATTAAGGGTGATGGGCGACAAGCGAAGAGTTGCGAACAGTCGCGGTAGAGTGGCAGTAAATATCAGCGAACAGTTTGGTTACATGGTTACACAGATACAACACGCGCTCGCTCGTCGACCTCGCACGTGCGCGAGTGCATGTCCGTGCATCTACCAACGTGCACGCCGCGAGTGTATCAAAGAGATCTACTGGCCACCACCCACCTCCCGCTCTTACTCTCTCCACTTGCCCCTCTCCACCTCCCCCTCCTTCCTCTTCTCCCCCCCTTCCCCCTCCCTCCCCTCTCTTCCACCCCCCTCTCCCTTCTCCTCTTCTCCTCCCCCTCCGCCCATGTCCCCCTCCGCCCATGTCCCCCGCCAGCCTACTATTCCGCCATGGCGCGCGGGACGTCGACTAAGAGTATAGCGGCTATTGCTGTAGCGGAGAGGTGAGGGCATTACCTGGGCCTTCTTTTCCCCGCTTTCTCGCCTCCGCATGTTCTTTGTTCACCATTTCACACCCCTCCAGACCCACCCGCACTCCCTCCCCCTCCCTTCCTCCTCTCCTCCTCTCCTCCTCTCCTCCTCTATCTCCTCCCGCTGGGTACCGCATTTACCTCCTCACAACCTTTTCTCCTTCTGTGCATCCTTCCACGTTGCACCATTACTATCACGACACAACCTCTCCACTCTCCCTGCCGCTCATGCCCCTTCTCCTTCCTCCTCGCCCCACTTCGTCCCTCCGTACCCTCCCCTACCCTTTTCCCCACACACACCTTCCACCCTTCCCCACCCGGCCCTTCTACCCCTCCGCCCTTCTCCCTTTCCCCCCCCTCTTCGGTCCCCCCCAACGCTCCTCCGCCGCGCACCAGCATTCAGTTCCAGCTGACGGTGGGCGGCTCGTGGAATCCTCCTTACAACGTGACTCTCTATCGTAACCCCTCCATGCTGCCGTCCGCGCCGGCCGGCAAGGACACGGCCGTTGAGATACAGACGCTGGCCGGGAACGGAGGTACGGTGGGGAGGTTCGGGAGGGAAGTTCGACGGGGAGGTACGGCGGGGAGGTATTGCAGGGAGGTACGGTAAGGAGGTATGGCAGGGAGGTATGGCAGGGAGGTACGGCAGGGCGCCTCACTGGTGGTCTGTGGTAGCTGCTCCCTCCCTCTCCTCCCTTCCCTTCTCCCTCCTCGTTCCCCCTCTCCCTTCCCTTCCTAGTTACCTTCCCTCGTATTTACCGTCTTCGTTCTGTTCCCTCCGCACCCCCCCCTCCCTTTTTCTCTCTCACTCCTGCTTCCCCCCTCCTCGCTCCCCCCTTACCTCCCTCCCTCCGGCCGTCTAAGCGCTCTTTCGTTCTCCTCCCTTGTCGCACCTACTTTCTTTCCCCTTTAACGCCCTTTCCCCTCGCTTCCCCTTATTCCCTCTTCGAGACTCCCTTCAGTGGTCCCGTCACTGCTGCCACTGCCGTCACTGCTGCCACTGCCGCCACTGCTACCACACCTCTACACGTCTGCCCCACACTCACCTCTCCCACACGCCTCCCAACCACCCCCCCTCCCCCCCCCCTCCCTCCCCTCCCCTCCCCCCCTCAATACCCCTCCCACGCCCCTCCCTATTCCCCCCACGTGCCACCTGCGCGCCTCCGTTCATTCCCACCAGGTACAGAGTGGTTGAAAGTGGTTCCAACGGTTTGGGAAACCTACGGCTCGGTTCTCTTCCAGGACGGCACGGACACAATGACCAAGGAGCTGGCGCCAGGTGGCAGGCCGCAATTGGTGGGCGAGTACACGGTGGAAACGGTGTCGCCCCCAGGATACTCGGACGAGCCACCCAAGCTGGCCGTTGCCAGCCTCGAGAGGGGCAACGCTAGGAAGTTCGGTGAGTAGGGGGTGGTTGGGTGGGTGGGGAGGGGTGGGCTTGGTGGAAAAAGGTGGTTTGGTTGGGTGGAGGACGGTTTGGTGGAAGGAAGAGTGTTGGGTGTGACAAGGGTGTGGATTGCATTGCATTGGAATGCTCACTGCAACTGCTACCCCTTTGTACTGCCACACTCTGGCCCCCTCCCACTTTCTTCTCCCCCCGTCTGCACTCCTTCCCACTGTCCCCGCCTTTCCCCTCTTCCCACAATGCCCTCCGCTTTCCTTTTTGTTTTTTCACATGAAGGAACGAACCAAAGCACGGCCCAAATCAACCCCCCCCTGGTATCGTTCCCTCCTTCCTCACAGGCAACGCCGGTCTCCCCACCACCCCTTTGGGGAGTGATTGCATTCTCTCTTCGGCGCTGCTCTCGTGGATGCAATGACTGGCGGCGCTTATTAAGTTTTGAGACGTTCACAAGCGCGCTACACCCCTCCGTCCCGTCCCCCTCCACCCTCCAGGCAATCCCGGTCTGCTTGCCGCCCCTCTGGAGAGTCCTCTCTTCAGCGCTGCGCTCGTGGATGCCATGACAGGCGGCGCTTATCTGCACATCACCTTTGAGTGAGTGCCTTGCTTGCTCACTAACCGCACATGTGCACATCACCGCTGAGTGAGTGAGTGCTCTGTGCAAGAAAGCTATTATATACGGCTGTAACAGCTTGTAACAGCTGATGTAATTTACAGCCATATGTCGATACCCATCCGCGTGCATTAATCTCAGTGGCTGACTTCCGCCCTCTGAAGGCGCCCATTCGTCCCTGCGACTGCACAGCACACGCCAATTCCTCCTTCCCGCCCCTCTGCTTGTATTCGCTGCCAGTGCTGCTTCCATCCATTCACACCCACGTGCCCACTTACCCCCCCACCCAAGCACTTCCCCCCTACCCATGCGCTTAATACCCACCCACGCACTTACCCCCCCACCCACGCACTTACCCCCCCACCCGCGCACTTACCCCTCAACTCATGCACTTACCCCCCCCCACCCATCCACCTTCCACCCACCCACCCTCCCAACCCACCCATTCCTCCACCCTATCCCACCCTTTCCAACCCTTCCACAACCTGTCCTACGTGGCTTATACTCACCACCATTGTTTTTCACAACAATCCCCTTCCCCCTTTTCGCCTCCCCTTCCCCCTCCCCACCTCTCACTCATCTCCTTTCCCACCCCACCCTCAGAGCGTCCCAGTACAACCTCTCCTACGTTTTGCCAATAGTCCACCCATAGGAAGACCCTCTTTTCCCTCTCTGCACTCACCACAATTGTTCTTCCGTCCCCACTCAATCCCCCCCACCCACCAAACCACCCCCCCCCCCTTCCCCTCTCAGAGCCTCCCAGTACAATCTCTCCTACGTGGCGGCAATAGTCGACCCAGAGGAGGACCCTCTCTCCCCGCTCCTCCGCATTTACAACGACACCCACGCCATGCCGGCCCTGCCGCTGCACTGCGCGCACTCGCGCTGGGCCAACCCGCGCATGGGGCTCTTCACGTGTGCGGGCTACCTCACTGTTGACGCCGCTGCTGGCCTGCAGTACCCCCCCGGTGCTGGGGAGGTTGGCTCGGATGTTGGCGGGGGTGGGGCGGAGAAGAAGGGGGGCAAGGGGAAGAATAAGTCTTTTCCGGGGGTGATCGGAGGGGCGTTTGCTGCTATTGGGAAGAAGTGGGGAGGGAAGAAGGGAGGGAAGAAGGGAGGGACTGCAGGCAAGAATCATCCACAGTCACTGTCTGCAGGAGCATCCTCATCCTCCATAAAGACTGCCTCGATAAGCAACACTGTAGGTGTAGCCCAGTCAAAGCAAATCAGCAGCGCACCTCTCTCAAGCCAGCTCAAGGACAAAGCGGAAACAGCAGCCTTTTCCCTCCAAACTCTGGGGCGTAAAGGCGGGAAGAAGGGCGGGAAGGGCGGCAAAGGAGCAAATATCAGCGCGGACAGCAGCAGCGGCGGTGGAAAGCAAACAAAAGGAGCCGACTCAGAAGCAGCCGCAGACCCAGCAGCAGATGCTGGCAGTGCCGGGGGTGGTACCGGCAGCAATGGAGCGGGGGCAGGGGCAGGGGACGAGGAAGGGCGCGCGGAGATGCCGTACATGGAGGCCATGGCGAGCCTGCTGGCGTTCAGCACGGATGGCGGCGATGGCTCCACGTCCTACGAGCTGAGTGTGTTCGGCGCGTCCCGCATGGTGGGGTCGTCCAGTAGCCTCGAGCTCACTGCCAACACGTTCTAATGCGATGGAGCGCAGTGGTGAGGGGTTGGAGGGGGTTCAAGGGTAGGTGGGACCCTATGAGCTGAGTGTGTTGGGCGCGTCCCGCATGGCGGGGTCGTCCAGTAGCCTCGAGCTCACTGCCAACACGTTCTGATGCGGTGGAGGGGTAGTGGAGGGGATTGATTGAGGGGACTGATGGGGGTGAGGGGGCTGAGGGGGATTGAGGGGGTTGGAGGGATTGGGGGGATTGTAGTGATTGGGGGGATTGTAGTGATTGGGGGAAGCACATGTTCCAGGGGGCTCTGGTGGTGATTACCCCACGTGCTTTGAGCTCAGTGTGTTGAGTGCATCGCACCTTGTCAGGTCGTCTCAGAGCCTTGACCTCACTGCCAAGGGTGGAGGGAGATGCAGGGGGTTGTCACAGGGAGATGGCGGGGAGATGAGGAGGGAAAGGGAGCTACAAGGACGAGGATGGGCGGATGGAGACGCCGTACATGGAGGCGATGGCAAGCCTGCTTGCTGGCGTTCGGCACGGACGGTGGAGATTACACGACGACCTACGAGCTCAGTGTGCTCCGTGAATCGCGCCTTGTGGGCTCGTCACAGAGCGTTGATAACTGGTGATGCTTCTCTGGGGAGCTCGAACGAATGTGGTAACAGGTTCCCTTTTGAGTTGTACGGTAATAGGGGGGATGGGGGAACGAGGGGCTTTGTGGGAAGCAAACATATGTTTTGTTTTACAGGTGGGGTTTCTTGTACTATATGATGGTCTGGTGTTGGTGGCCGCTATTTGTTTGCTATGTTGCTATGCTAGCAAGGGTTACATATGGCTAGTGTGCGAATTATGTGCTGTTTAAACTAGTACGGTTTGATAAGAAACCAAATAATAAATATTTACAAACCGGGGTGGGCGTCGTAACAGATCCGAAGCAACCGCAGGCCTCAACCAATCATCAGCGACGCGTCATTTCGCTGCTTATGCGGAACACGGTTACACTGTCGTTGGACCTAAACCCTGGACGACTCGTCATAACATAAATTGTGAATCAATCAGATTCATCACACTCCGCTCGCTGCACTTTCTTGCTTCACACGCTTTCCTCTGCGTGTGTCGGTCCCACACCACACCACCTCCCTCTGCACTGCCTGCTCACACCGTAAATTCCGTGAGAAGGGTGCGATAAGATGGCATTGCGACGTCGCTTCCCCACGTCCGTCGTCAATCATCGGTGTCGCGGCACCCCCGACTGCACCTGCGCTTTTTGCCAAGACTCCGCCGGAGTCCCCGCCGCGAATCACGTATCAAATCCCGCCGCAACCCCCGCCTCTGCCACCGCGGGTACCACCGGAGCGGCACCGCGTTTGCCTTCGTTAGCGGAGGAGGCGGCCGCGCTGCGAGCCGCCGTAGATTTAGGCGGCGCCGCCCCGGATTATTTGCGTCGCGAGCACGACGTTTCACAGTCTGGTTCTGACGGATTGGTAGGGAGTCGCGCAGGGCCCGCGATTGACGGCGTGGCGCGCGGCGCAACAGGCGGCGAGAGAGGCGGCTTGAAAGAAGAGGCGAGCGACGCGCAGAACAAGCAGGAAATGGCGGCGGGGCGATCGGGACTGACTTTTGCGACGGGGATGCGCGGGCGAGAAGGTGAGATGGGGACACACTGAGGAAGTGCGCGGAAGGGCGATGAAGGGGTTTGTGCGGAGGGGGGTAACGATGAGGGAGAGTCGAGGTTGGGGGATGAGGTGGGGTTGACGTGGGGATGAGGTTGGAGGGTAGAGGGCGCGGGATGGGTAAAGGAAGAAGGGTTGGGTGGGTCGTTGCCTCCTGTGCCTTGTCGCGCCCGCTGCCCACATGGCTCCGTTGCTTGATTTTGTGCCCCACAACTCGAATTTCCTCTAATATCCCCGTACGATCACCTTGCTCTTCCTTCCACCTCCCCCACACCTTCCTCTTCCCCCCCCCCCCCCCCTTTCTGCCCTCAAGCACCCCGTGCGCCCAGGCATGGGCGAGGCGGGGCGCTACCTGCCTCACCCCTCGCCTCCAACCACACCTGTCCCCCCATCCATCTCCCCACCCACTTTCAGCCCTCCCCGTGCTGCCATTGCTGCAGCGGTATGTGGGCGATGTGGGACGCTACCTGAAAATCACTTTGAAGAATTCTCAAAAGCGATGTGGGACGCTACCTGCTGCACCTCCCTCCCTTTCAACAACGCCCATTCCCCTCCCCCGCCTCCCTTTCCCCCTCCCTCGCACCCCATCTCCCCCTTCCCCCTTGCAGTCCGCCCTGTGCCGTCCCAGCTGCAGCTGTGCTTGGGCGAGGTGGTTCTTGCCTTGACTCCCTCCCTTCCAACCACGCCCGTTCCTCTCCACTCCCCCCTATGTCCCCCTTTCCCCTCAACTCCCTCCTACGGTCCCCCTTCCCCCTCCCGTGCCCCCCTATGCACGCTTACCTCCCCGTCCAGCCGCTGCTGTGCCATCACTACTGCAGCTGTGTGTGGGCGAGGTGGGGCGCTACCTGCCGCACCTGCTCCTTTGCAGCGTCCCCCCACATTCCGCGCCCCCCCTTCCTCCTCCCCATCTCCCCATCCCCCCACCAGCCCCCTCTGTGCCGTCGCTACTGCAGCTGTGCGTGGGCGAGGTGGGGCGCTACCTGCCGCACCTCCCTCCCTTGCAGCCTCCCTTACCCCCCGCTTCCCCTCCTCTTTCGCCCATCTCCCCCTTCCCCATGTCAGCCCCCCCTGTGCCATCACTGCTGCAGCTGTGTGTGGGCGAGGTGGGGCGCTACCTGCCTCACCTGCTCCGCATGGACATGGACGCTCACGAATTCGACTTGAGGGGATTTGTGGCGCTGCTGCCCCCCCACGCGCGGGTGTGTATTTGCATGGGCCAGCATGGTGATGGGGGTGGGGGTGGGGGTGGGGGTGGGGATGTTTGTAGCTAGTAGCGGCTGACAGGGGCTGTTTCGTCTCCTGCCTCACTTGCCCACGCATGGACACCCACGAGTTTGACTTGAGCGGCTTTGTGGCACTGCTGCCACCCCACGCCCGGGTTAGTAGGCACGTAGATGGCACAGTGGGTAGGGTGGGTGGGTGCATGCCCATTTGTTGCATGGGCCTGGTGGGGCAGTGGCGATTAGCATGGGCGCGGAGTCTAGGCTAGGTGCTTGGGTGCGGTGGGTATATTGCATGTTTGGGCAGTGCAGAGAGGCCTAGGTGGGTGCGTGTGTTGCATCGCATACAGGGCTTGGGGCTGATGCGAGGGGCTGATGCGAGTGGCTGATGCGAGTGGCTGATGCGAGGGGCTGATGCGAGTGGCTGTGGCTGTGGCTGTGGCTGTGGCTGTGGCTGTGGCTGTTGGGGCGGACTGGCACCCATGTGCCTCCCCTTGCACACGTGCTCGTGCACATAGGGGTTTGCCCATGCACGTGGGGGTTTGCCCATGCACGTGGGGGTTTGCCCATGCACGTGGGGGTTTGCCCATGCACGTGGGGGTTTGCCCATGCACGTGGGGGTTTGCCCATGCACGGGGGGGTGTGCCCATGCGTGTGTTTATTCATGCACATGTGGCTGTTGTGGGGTGTGCTCATGCTGTATCCCTGCTCTCCTTTCTATCCCGTCTCCACACCTCCAATGATCCATTCAACTCAAAACTCACTCTTTCCTACTCTTAGTGGCCAACCAACCCCCCCCCCTCCCCCACCACCCCTTCCCCTTTGACAGCTGGCGCTGACAGCCATTGCGAGGCGCCGAGGGCTGCTTTTTGATTGGCTGCTGGAGGCGCTGGTGGATGACACGTGGCACAGTGTGGACTTGCGTGGGTCCGACGTGTCAGACCAAGGCCTGTGCCATGTGGCACAGACCTGCCCCAACCTTGTAGCTTTAGACATCAGGTGAGACATCAGGTGAGACATCAGGTGAGACATCAGGTGAGTCTTCAGGTGAATCTTCAGGTGACCTGGGAAAGCACCTGGTAGCTAGCCACTAAAGAAGGCATTGAGTTGAGCATTCATCGCAGCCTCACACTTCACTCGGATGTTCATTCCTGTACTCGGATGTTCATTCCTGTACTCGGATGTTCATTCCTGTACTCGGATGTTCATTCCTGTACTCGGATGTGAAGGTTCATTCCTGTACTCGGATGTGAAGGTTCATTCCTGTACTCGGATGTGAAGGTTCATTCCTGTACTCGGATGTTAAGGTTCATTCCTGTACTCGGATGTGAAGGTTCATTCCTGTACTCGGATGTTAAGGTTCATCTATCGTTCTTCAAACCTTATACTGGCACCCACCACCATAACCCTCACCATGCTTATCCTCATCATCACACTTCCCTCCCCACTCTCCTCCCACTCCCCGTGTGCACTCCTTCCCGCCCTCCGCTCATGCCTCTGTGTGTCCCTCAGAGAATGCAATGCCGTGTCACTGCACGGCCTCACACTCCTCCTCAAGGCCTGTCCCGCCTTGCAGCTGCTGCGCCTGGGGTGAGATGCTCTTGCCACCCGCCTGGGGTGAGACCCTCTTGATGTTATTGCCATCTCTCTTCTCTTCCTGCCATCTCTCTTCTCTTCCTGCCACCCACCTGTCACCTATTCCTCCCTCCCCTTCCACCAACCACACATTTACTTAGCCACACTTCATGTCTAAGCTTTTCAGACTCTTTTCCTTCTCACATTCCAGTTTGCTTCCCATCCCCTCATTCCGCATACCACAATTCATCACTTCTCCTTTCCACCCTCCTTTTCCGCGTCTCCCCTTCCCTCTTTCCCCCGTTCCCTCCTTTTGTTCCTGCTTATTCCCTGTCTCCCCTCCTCCCCTCCTCCCGTCCTCCCCTTCTCCCCTTGTCTCCTTCGTCCGTCCATCCCGCTTCCCCTCTTCCTCCTCAGGGGCTCCCCTGCTTGCAACAAGGTCGCAAGAGCAGCAGTCAAGTGGATGCTACCGCAGCAGCCTGTAAGGGGTACAGAAGGTGCAGAGAGCGCAGAGGCAGGAGAGGAGGAGGTGGAGGGGGAGGGGGAGGGGGAGGGGGAGGGGGAGGGGGAGGGGGAGGGGGAGACAGCGCAAGGAGAGAGGGAGGGGGGGGAGGGCGGGTGGGAGGGCAGTTGGGAGGAGGTGGAGGAGCGACTGGAGGAGAGGGTTCCTGCCATGCGGTGGCTCATCTGGGTGAGTGTGTTGGTGTGTGGGGGGTGGGAAGGGAGGGGAGGGGGGCACGGGTGACTGGGTGGCTGGGTGGTTGGTGGGGATGGTGGGGATGGTTTGTTCACCAGTGCCCCTTGCGTGGGTCCCCTGCGTGTGCGCCTCTTGCGTGTGCCCCTCTTGCGTGTGCCCCTCTTGCGTGTGCGCCTCTTGCTTGTGCGCCTCTTGCTTGTGCCCCTCGCCCCTTGTGCCCCTCGCCCCTTGTGCCCCTCGCCCCTTGTGCCCCTTGCCCCTTGTGCCCCTCGCCCCTTGTGCCCCTCGCCCCTTGTGCCCCTTGCCCCTTGTGTGTGCCCTTTGGCAGTGCCTCTTCTGATTGCTTTCACCTTCACCCTCTCACACCCATGCTTTCGACCCACCACTCCACTCCCATTCATCGCCTTCCCCCACCATTACCCGTCACCTGCATGAATTCACTCTCACCACTCCTTCCTATGCAACCTGCTCTTCCCTTGCCGGCGGATAGTCAACCTGCGTTTGCCTTACCCCTGTGTCCATCGCAACCCCTGTGTCCATCGCAACCCCTGTGTCCATCGCAACCCCTGTGTCCATCGCAACCCCTGTGTCCATCGCAACCCCTGTGTCCATCGCAACCCCTGTGTCCATCGCAACCCCTGTGTCCATCGCAACCCCTGTGCCCATCGCAACCCCTGTGTCCATCGCAACCCCTGTGTCCATCGCAACCCCTGTGTCCATCACAACCCCTGTGTCCATCGCAACCCCTGTGTCCATCGCAACCCCTGTGTCCATCGCAACCCCTGTGTCCATCGCAACCCCTGTGTCCATCGCAACCCCTGTGTCCATCGCAACCCCTGTGTCCATCGCAACCCCTGTGTCCATCGCAACCCCTGTGTCCATCGCAACCCCTGTGTCCATCGCAACCCCTGTGTCCATCGCAACCCCTGTGTCCATCGCAACCCCTGTGTCCATCGCAACCCCTGTGTCCATTGCAACCCCTGTGTCCATCGCAACCTCGTTCGCCCACAATCTCTCTCTCACATCCTCTCCCTTCCCTTCCCCTCCACCCGCCCATCGCCCTCTCAGCCTGAGGCGGACCCCAACACAGCATCACTGCTCGCCTCCAAGTGCCCTTGTATCCTCCTCAACCCCGCCCCGCCCTCTACTCCTCCCCCCCACTCTCTGCCTCCCCCTTACTGTCACATCCCCACTACTCTTCCCTCCTCTGACCCGTCCATTCCTCCTAACCTCCCCACTTCCATCCCTGCCCTCCCCTCTGCACTCCTCTCGCGCACCTCCCTGCAAGCCTTCCCGGCTCTCCCCCTCGACGCCCCGCACCTGGTCGGTATCCCCCCGGCAGTGTGGGAGAGGGGCGCTGGCGAGGACGAGGAGGAGGGGGAGGAAGGCGAGGAGGATGGGGAGGAGGGGATAAGAGGAGAGGCGGAGGCAAGAGGGTGGAGGAGAGGATTGGCGATGGAAGGAGCACGAGCAAAGGTGAAGTCAGGAGCAGAGGTACCACAAGAGGTACCACAGGAATCAGAGGCGCCACAGGAGTTGTCGGTAGCGGAGCGGTTCAGGCTGGCGTTTGTGGCGCGCGATGAGAGGCTGGCGCCCAAGCGCGCCAAGAACCAGCGCCAGAGGGAGCGCCGCGAGGGGCGGGACCGCGCCGCTGCTGACGTGGCGCTGCGGGCGCGGCTGCTGGCTGGTGCTGCCACTCGATCGCTGCGGCTGTGACGGGACGGGATGGGAGAGCCGCTATTGGCCTTTGGGACCACACTGCTGCTGGCATGGCCCTCTTCCATCCACCGCGGGCGCCGCTGCTGGCGAGTGCTGCCAGCTGGTCACAGCGACTGTGCAGCGGATGGGATGGGAGGCCTGTGCTGTGTGAAGGGATGGGATGGGAGGCCTGTGCTGTGTGAAGGGATGGGATGGGAGGCCTGTGCTGTGTGAAGGGATGGGATGGGAGGCCTGTGCTGTGTGAAGGGATGGGATGGGAGGCCTGTGCTGTGTGAAGGGATGGGATGGGAGGCCTGTGCTGTGTGAAGGGATGGGATGGGAGGCCTGTGCTGTGTGAAGGGATGGGATGGGAGGCCTGTGCTGTGTGAAGGGATGGGATGGGAGGCCTGTGCTGTGTGAAGGGATGGGATGGGAGGCCTGTGCTGTGTGAAGGGATGGGATGGGAGGCCTGTGCTGTGTGAAGGGATGGGATGGGAGGCCTGTGCTGTGTGAAGGGATGGGATGGGAGGCCTGTGCTGTGTGAAGGGATGGGATGGGAGGCCTGTGCTGTGTGAAGGGATGGGATGGGAGGCCTGTGCTGTGTGAAGGGATGGGATGGGAGGCCTGTGCTGTGTGAAGGGATGGGATGGGAGGCCTGTGCTGTGTGAAGGGATGGGATGGGAGGCCTGTGCTGTGTGAAGGGATGGGATGGGAGGCCTGTGCTGTGTGAAGGGATGGGATGGGAGGCCTGTGCTGTGTGAAGGGATGGGATGGGAGGCCCCGTGCTTAAAACGTGCTGCCGTTGCGAGAGAAGGCCAGACTGGCTTCTGTACAGGAGGGCGTGCCCTGGCCTTTGGGACCATGCCGCTGCTGACGGGCCCTCTCTCAGGCGCTGCGGCCATGGCTGCTGGCGAGTGGGTGGGGATGGGAGGCACTGACTTGCAGTGCAAGCACGCATGGCTGTGAAGGGATGGGTTGGTTTATAAGAGGCCTGCGTGTCTTGGATTGGGGTTGGGCAATGGGGTGTCTCAAAGCTCACTTGGGACGTGAGGGAGCAGGCGAGCTGCATGTGTATGACGATGGTGTACTGTAATGGTGGTGTACTGTAATGGTGGTGTACTGTAATGGTGGTGTACTGTAATGGTGGTGTACTGTAATGGTGGTGTACTGTAATGGTGGTGTACTGCCGGGTCAGCTCCAAGCCACCCTGCCTTTGCGCCGGCGATGGTGTACTGTAATTGTTAGTGGCGCCTCTGTTGGGCTGAGAAAAAGCCCTTAGGATCTTTGCAGGGGTGAACTCTGGGTAGGACTGATGTAGTAGCGGAAGCGTTTTAATGAAGAGTTGTGAACCACCTTGCGCTAGTATGTGAGGGCAAAATTGATTGATTAAAACAAAGAGATACAGGATTATATAAGAGTACAGGGAATATGAAGAGATACAGTTATAACTACTTTACTGTTGCTATTGCGGTTCGATACAGTGACGACTCGGGCAACTGCTCTGTAACGAGTCAGTTGTGTGTCCTTGCTGTCGCGCTGTACTTGTCAGGTCAAAGGTCGCTGACCTTTGACTTTCGCGTAACCTCCAGCAACTGCTCAACCTCCGAGAGTTGACTCGCCAGTGCTTCCATATGCTTAGCTTCGCTTTTGACTTGGTGTTTCGACTCGACAGAGGCGCTTAGAGTTAATTGTTTCCAACACTCCCCTTCGCTTCTGGAGTGTCGCTGCTGGTGACGTGACTCTGTCCAGTAAGCAGCATGCAGTACTCGAACTTCTGTTTCCCGAGCTTCTTGGTCAAGTAGTCAGCTGCCATCTCGGATGTGGGGCAGTATGACAGCTCGAGTCTTCCTTTCTCGATCTCGTCCTTCACGAAGAAGTATCGCAGCGCGATGTGTTTCGTCCTGTTCGCGAAGCCGTTCTTGTTGGCGATGCGAATTGCCGACTGGTTGTCGCAAATCAGGGTGAAGCTGGGTAACTGGGCCAATTTCGCTTCTTCCAGCAGTTCGCGAAGATAGAGTCCTTCCTTGGTGGCTGAGCAAAGTGCGATGTATTCTGCTTCGGCTGAGGAGAGAGCAATTAGTTCTTGCTTGCTCGACTGCCAGGAGATAGGACCGATAGGTTCGAAGCGGTAGATGTAGCCGGTGCGTGAGCGTCTGTTGTCAGAGTCCCCTGCGTGATCGGCGTCGACGTAGCCGATTAGTTTAGGCGCTGTAGCCGTGTTCTTATGGTAGGTCAGGCCGATTGTCGGGGTGCTGACGAGGTAGTGAAGAGCGCGGTCGAGCTCCGCCAGATGTTCCGCTTCAGGTTTCTTGAGGTAGGTGGCGAGCTGGCTTGCAGAGTACGATAGGTCCGGGCGGCAGGTGACAGCTGCGAAGAGGAGGCATCCCTGCTTCCTCTGGTAGTCGCGTATGCCGGCGGGCTTGAGTAGACGGAGCCTTCCTCGTGGTTTCCTGCTGTGTAACGGTATGGCATGGAGATGACGGTCGGCGTGAGTGCGAAGCGTTTGGCGATGGTATCGGCGTATTTCGCGGCGCTGAGGTAGATCGCATTTTCTTCTTCCTGGATGTTTAGGCCGAGGTACTGTGTGACGGTGGACGAGACCGTGAGTGTGAGATCCTTTTGTAACTCCCTTTCGAACCAGGTAGTGACGCTGTCGGTTGAGCCGATGTAGAGCAAATTGTCGACGTAGACGATTAGCAGGATGTAGTCGGTTCCCTTTGTGAGCCGGTACATGCCTTGGTCGTGAGGTAGCTGACGGAATCCGATGCGAGTGAGTCTTGCGTATAGGTACTGCTGCCACAGCCTTGGAGCTTGTTTGATACCGTAGAGTGACTTCAGCAGCTGACAGACTTGATTAGGTTTTCGGTTGGAGCCGTGCGGTAGCTCGACGAAGATTTCTGCATCGACGGGTGCGTAGAGGAAGGCGTTGGCGACGTCAATTTGCCGCAGCTTCCTTTTCTTCATGGCGGCGATCGCGAGGAGGATTCGCAGCGATGTGTGTCGGCTGACCGAAGCGAACGTTTCGGTGAAGTCGCGTCCGTGCTCTTGGTCGAAGCCGCGTACGACCCATCGTGCTTTAAATTTATCAATGGTGCCATCTGCCTTTGTTTTCACGCGGAAGACCCACTTCCCGGTGAGTACAGTCTTGTTCCGTGCGACGCCGATAGGGACAACCTTCCAGGTGTTGCGTTCCTCCAGTGCTTTCAGCTCCTTGTCCATGGCTTCGCGCCATTTTTCCTTGTGTTCCCCCCCCAGAGCCTGCTGAACTGTCGCAGGCTCCTTAGGAATGGCAGTGCCGTGGACCGCGGTGACCAGGCCAAGTATCTGGAGGCCACTCTGTGTGTAGCGGGGAAGTGATGTGTCCTCGGGATAAACTGCTTCGTCTCCCGCTTCTGGTGTAGGGTTGAAGTTTGGTCCTACACGTTCTGCTTCGTTGGTGTTGACTTGTGCAGGCGTAACGTAACCGTTGTCGGCGAAGTGGAAATATGTTTCGGCGTTGATGCTTTCCCGTGGATTTTCGTCATCCATTGGCACGTCGACGGAGCAGTAGGGGAGGGGTCCGGCTTCTTCCGAGGCTCCTTCCACGTTCTGCTCGTCCCAATCAGCTTCGTCGTCTGCCGAGGCGAAGGCTCGGGTGCCAAGAAAACCATCGGAGCGATCGGGGTTTCCTTCTTGCAAGTTGGCGAGGTAGTACCGGAGGGTGAGGTTTTCGTAGAAGATGACATCACGTGCTGCTACTGTTTCTTTTGTCTCGACGTCGAAGATCTTCCATGCGTTGTAATGTTTTTCGATGCCCAGGTGTAGTCCCCACTGTGCGCGTTGGGAGAATCGGCCGGCTCGTGCAGATGGGGGCCGGTACTGTACCATGCAGCCGAAGACTCTCAACATTTTTGTGCTGCCCAGTTTTCCTGTCCACAGCAGATGCGGTGATGCGTTGTTCGGGATCGATGATGACGAGAGCAAGTTGTGCAGCATGACGGCGTGGTCCATTGCTTCGGGCCACTGGTGGTTGGGCAGGTGCATGCCACGTAGCAGCTTGCGCATGGTGTTCTGGAGGGTCCTGTTCATCCTTTCTGCTACGCCTTGCTGTTGATGGGCGTAGGGAAGGGAGATGAGTCGCTTGATTCCTCTCTCTGCCAAGTACTCCTTGAACCTCTGTGAGGTGTATTCTCCCCCTCCATCTGATTGAAAGCTTTTGAGTTTGACGCCTGATTCTCGTTCTGCTACTGGAAGCCAGGCGACGAAGGCTTCGAAAGCCATGTCGCGGCTTGGAAGATTTAGGTGCCAGACGTATCGTGTGGCAGCGTCGATGAAGGTGATGGTGTAATTGTATGCGTTTTGTCCAGGCTCGCGGTTGTACAGGATGTCGCTGTACACCTTTTCGAGTGGCGCGTAAGCTGGTGCGCTTGGGTTGTGGTGAGACGTGAATGGTTGATGCGGTAAGTCAGCTTCGGGACACGTGAAGCATGTTCCACGGGCTCGCTGAAGTTCTCTGCCGTCAGTTAGGAGTAGAGAGTCTTTGTCGAGCACGCCTGCTCTTATCGTCTAATTTAACACCGTGTTGCTTGGGTGACCCATTCTTGCGTGCCAGGTTCCTTCGGTGGCGCGATGTCCGGGTGAGCGCCGATACATGTCGGAGTTGGAGTAGAAACCGGCGGTGAAGTTGGCGCTTCGGTGGACTTCTCGTTGAGTCGGTGTTAGCTGCTGTGCGGGTGTTGGTGATGTATCGTCGGTGAAGATTGGTGCCGTTGAAGGACCAGCGATTGGTGTTGTTGTTGCCACTGCTGTTGTTGTCTCTGCTGCTGCCGATGTTGTCTCTGCTACTGCCGGTGTTGTATCTGCTACTGCCGGTGTTGTCTCTGCTGCTGCCGATGTTGTCTCTGCTGCTGCCGGTGTCGTCTCTGCTGCTTACGAATGTTGAATTGTCGCTAACGCTCTTGTTCTTTCTGCTTCAGGAATGGTTTGTGAATACCAGAAGCCTTCTGGACTGAAGTCGGGGTCGAGATCCGGTGGATGTGTCCAGGAGGTGAAGGCGACGATCCCGTCGCTGTCTGCGGTGCCGAGATCTGGAACGAAGTCGAGGACGAAGACATTATTTTTCAGGACTGCCTTTCCGATGTAGAGACCGCCCTTCCCGTGGTACAGCTTGAACTCCTGGGTGGTGCTGTCTGCTTCGAGGTGGATACCTTTCGCCATCAGTTGACTAACGCTGAGTAAGTTGTCTGCGTGCCCAGTAAGGACCACTGGACTCTGCCCTCCAAGCACAAGCCCCATGCCCGACGTACTGCACAAGTAGCGCAACACCCTCTTCGCTGCAGCCATGTGCTCCGGTCTGTGTCTCCCAGGAGCAACATAGCGTGCAAGAATGCTAAGAGGGTATGCAAGGTCAGGTCGTGTGCAGGTCATCAGGTACATGAGGCAGCCAACAAGCTCTGGGTACGGGCCACTCGACTCTACGGACTCATCCGAAGGCAGAGCTGAGAGCGAGTGGCGAGTAGGCAGAGGAGTGGCCTGAGGCGAGGAGTACGTGAAGCCAAAGCGCTGAAGGACCTGCTGCACCATGTGTGACTGAGTCAGGGTAATGGTGCGGCGTGCTCTGTCCCGAGTGATCTGCAAGCCAAGGTAGCTGCGCAGTTCACCCAGGTCAGTGCACGTGTGTCTCTTCTGCAGCTCGGACTTCACGTGGGCTAGTCCAGCAGTGTCAGCTGTGGCAAAGACCAAGTCGTCGACGTACACGAGGATGTAGAACGGCGGCAAAGAAGTGTCGGTGCGCAGAAACAGCGACGGGTCGGCAGTAGAGGGAGCAAACCCAAGAGCCGCAAGTGTAGTCCTCAGTGTGTCGTGCCACTCACGCGGTGCCTGGCGGAGACCGTAGACTGGCCGCCGTAGGCTCCACTGGGTGCCAGGAGGAAAAGACCCAGTGAAGCCAGGTGGGCGACGCAGCCAGATCTCCTCGTG